TATTTTGTTATGCCATTATGTCTTCTGAGTAGGGATGTTAATGATGGATTCAAGGTAAACACACAGAATCATCTTGTACCTGTCTTGGCAACAGCAATTAAGGTAATCTTGTATTGATGATTGTCTCTTATTTTATTTTATTTTTTATTTTTTATTATCTATTATAAATATTTTTTTTTTTTTTGGAAATGCATTTTTAATTGTGCAGGCATGCATGGTTATTATGCCCTTAAATATCATTTGGCACATCTAGAATTGAAATTTTTAAGGATGTGTATATGTTTGGTTCAATCATTACACCCTTTGGTCCCTTGTAATTTGATAAGCCTGCATCTCCACAATTGGTGAATCCACTTGTTTACGTCATTATTGACAGATTAATCCCTTTTTAATGGTCCATGAAATATATGGAAAATCTGCTAATCATTTAATCTGGATTCTGGAATCTGGCACCCAGTACCAAAGATCTGTAACTTAGACAAATCTGTTTTCCTTCTAGAAAGATGGGGTTTAGAGGGTAGCTTTCACATTGATCAAATGATCATTTTTCTTTTTCTTTTGTAATACATCATAATGCTCTTCTCAGGCGGAGCTCAATAAAGCGGTTGCTGAACATTGTCCAGGTGAAAGTGGATCTCGGACTGACAAAAAGAAATCTACTGCAAAACACCACTCCATCCTACTGCAGGTTTAATAGTTTCAGAAACCTAGTGTTATTTTTACTGGATGTTAACTAAGCTTTTGGACATTTATTTAATTAACATAATATGTTTTCCTTTCTATCCCTCTTCCAGATGCTTGCAGATCAGCTCGGCTGTGAGCCAGATGAAATTTGTGATTTTGAATTGCAAGCATGTGATACTCAACCAAGTATAGCAGCAGGTGCCTTGAAGGAGTTTGTCTTTTCTGGAAGACTTGATAATCTTTGCATGTCATTTTGCTCTCTGAAGGTATGTTAATTGTATACTCTCCCCTTGTCAAAAAATACATGTTTGTAGTTGGACTTCTCAACCGCACTATGTCTGATTTGATGTTGTACACTTGTGTCTCATTTCAAATGGGTAGTGAGTTGTGACATTAACTCTTGTAAAAGTGTATATAGTTGTCTCTTGCCTTGTTTATCATCCGTAAGTTTCCTTTGGTGATCATTGGTTATCAAATTGTGTCTGCCTAAGAACATGTTTTCTAAATGTAATGAGAATTATTATAGGGTAATGCTGATTTATTTTGTCTTCTACTCGTAGTTTGTTTCCTTCAATATGAAATTCTTGTAGCTAGCATTTGGAAGAGAGAGTGTTTGTTAGGAAGTGTGGCATATAGAATCTTTGAAATCACCCAAGTCATTGTGCATTCATCTTTTAATTCTTTTAGGTTGTGTTTGGTTGTGAGTAATGGCTATCCCCTGTTCAAACCATAAAAATAAGGCAAAAGTAAGAAATTGTTTAAGAAGGTTAGGAATACCTAGTTCTTGAGATTGATTTCGTTAGATTAAGGAAAAAACAAGGAATGCCTTTTTTTTTTAAGGCCGAAATTCCTTAAGGGACGGTGATAATACTTATTTCTTAATTGTTCACTAATATAGTAAAAAAATTATTAATGATAAGAGTAGTTATTTCTACCTCATTAAGTTTCTTAATTTTGCCTTCTTATTTTTATAGTTTGACCAAGGAATTGCTATCACTCCCAACCAAACATGACCTTAGTTCCAAAATTATTGCATTCTCAGTAATAAAGTTCTGAGTTGTAATAAAGCCAAACCTGAGGAGTGTGATTTAGCCTTAGTATTCCTATATAATTTATTGTGTTGTGAAGAGGAAAAAGGAAAAGGTAAGGTGATCTTATTTTAAATCAGCTATTCTTACTAATTAGAATATAAGTTTCAATTTCAGGCACTGATAGACACCACCTCTTCTGAAAGCAACCTTGAAGATGAGACTGGTGTTCAAATGGTGGCATTGTTTGATCATGAGGAGGTCGGGTCTGATTCAGCACAGGGAGCTGGGTCTCCTGTTATGTTAGATGCCCTTTCACGAGCAACAAATTCCTTCACCTCAGATCCTAAGGTGGTAACTACATCTCAATTCTCCCATGCTCAGAAAATTAGTTTCTCTGCACTCCTATTGCCAGTAACTTGGTATTGTATTGAACTTGTTTCTTTTTTCTAACTTCATTTACATTCAATATTCATGTTCTGCATTTAGCATAAATTCCACCAGTTAAGAAGCTTTTCATCTTGACTTTTCTCCTATCCACGTCAGAATGTAGCTGCTGCATTTCACGCTACAATTTTGTTGCAGTAATTAGGAAATAAATCTGCTCTCATCAGTAGAGACCTGATTGTCGTTAATATTTTGTGCTTTGGTTTCTCCAGATGCTTAAGAAAGCAATTCAGAGGAGTTTCCTTGTTTCTGCCGACATGGCACATGCCTTACACCCAAATTATATGGTATCTTGCTGCAAACCAGTCTTTAACTTGAATTTGCAAGAAATTTGTTCATTGCACCGTTCTAATGGGGTGTTATTTCCCAGGAAAAACATGAAGATAACCATCAACCCAAGTTGCATGGTGGACTTATTATCAAACACAACGCAAATCAACGCTATGCAACCAATGCAGTTACTTCTTTCATATTCAGGGAAATAGCAGCAAAGCATAGCCTTCCAGTCCAGGTCAGCATCATTGTTTTAACATAATGTTAAATAGTTACAGGTATCACACAGCAAAAAAAGAAAGTTAGTTATCAAAATTCTAATGAGGAAAACCTGATCCTACACATTTCATAACATGTGTAGTTTTTGAGTCCTCCAGTGGGGATTGGTTTTTCCTCTTCCTATAAATAGAAAACTAATTGGATGAAAGTAAATACTGTCAAGAACAAGAACTTTGCTTTTAAGTGCAAGTACAGAACATTAATAGTCAAATTCCACATTGCTCTTAAGCCATTTCTTCAGTGCTGTCATCTTTTAGAATACAATGCTGAAAGCGCAAGAGTGAGTTTACAGCAACTCAGATTCAAAGGAGGCATTTTACTTTGTTTTGGAAACTCATCGTAACTCAAATGGAAAAATGCGTATTGTTACTTGTGTGAACTGGGAAGACCAGAGTGTGACTATTTTGAGAACTGCTTTGGTGGATGACCTGATTATTTGCAAATTTCTATGCACACAGGACTTTGTCGTCCGCAACGACGTGCCTTGTGGTTCAACTATTGGTCCTATCCTGGCAAGTGGTGTCGGGATTCGCACAGTTGACGTTGGCGCTCCACAATTATCAATGCACAGTATACGAGAAATGTGTGCTGCTGATGATGTTGAACATTCATACGAGCATTTCAAAGCCTTCTTCCAAGATTTCTCTCATCTTGATGCCAAGATTACAGTGGACGTGTAGGTCTCGGTTCACCTTCACTACAATTTCCAGTAAGAAAGAATAATGGACGTTAAACGGTTTAACAGTGTCTGTAAACAACACAAAATCATGAGGTTATACGCCAGATTAAGTGGTGGGTCTTGCTGTATATATGGATAAATCTTAAGGATGCTGGCTTTAAAAGACTTTATGAGTAGCGTTTTATACTGGTGTGCTGATATGTAAGATTTATATTATTGTATGCTGACATGTTCTGCAACATTTGGTTGTATGTAGAACTGCAAAAGCTCCATAAATAAAGGTGGTGTTATTGGTGGTGTTATTGGGACAATTCTTTTGTTTTATTTTTTTGTACAATTTTCATATATTATTAAATGAATGAATATATTTAATATTACGGATCTTACCTAAATTAAAAAAATTAACCATTTTGATGATATGTCAGGTTATACAAAAAAAATAAGACAACAAAGTTATTCCAATAGCATTTCTCTATAAATAATTAGTCTGAAAATTCGTATTTCGTATGTTGATCATCTCATGCAGGTGTTGGGTTTAAATGAATCCTACAAAAAAATGTTAAATCGGTCTGCAATTTCAACCTTTTTTATTTAGCAGGATTAAAAAGTTATCACTTCTATTTTTATACCCTAGTGCGTTCGGTTTAACAAAATTTTGTGAAATTTACCACTCTACACTGATATTTCTAATTGATACGATTTATCTTCGTCGGAGGGATGCTGACAAAGACAAGATTTCCAAAAATTAACCCAAAACACTTACAACCATTCTAATTGTTGAAATGGTTTTAATTTTTTTTATAATGAAAATTTTATTTTAAATCTCGTAATATTTACATAGTAGTAAATAAATGTATGTATACTATTCGTGTCTCATCTAAATTATAGGAGTAAATAAAAATTATATTACACCGAGTTGTAAGATTTTATTTTTAATAAATCATATTTCATGTTTTAATCAAAGCTGTCAGTTATACACCCAAACTACCACCATGTACTCCTTAAAACAGTCCTTCAATTCCTTCTTTAGCAAAAACCCAAAATAGAGATCAGCATTTAAGATTTTGTGATTTGCATAAGAATTATCTATGAGTTGATCTTAACATATATATGTGTGAGAGAAATAATGTGTATTAGTTTCTAAAATAATTAGAATCTCAACTTTAAAAATAATACCTTTTAAAAAATATTTTTAAAAATTAATAATTAAATTTAATGTTATATTTATATAGAACATGTCTATTAATTTTTATATTAATTGAATACATATATAATTAGTTAATAGATTATAAAAAAATTTATTATCATTAAATATATTTAAAAAATATAAATATTTAATTAAATAATTATATATATTGCATCCACTTAAAACTGATATACATAATCTCTATATATATATATCTTTTAAGTGTATAAGTATTAATACAGATATTTATTTGTATTTGCTCTGTTGTATTAGTAGTTGAATTATAGAGATTGCTAATTTTAATTATAATATTTTATTTTACATTTTTAATTTATTCAATGTTTCAGAAAGTGCTAGGAAATGGTGTGGCATTACCCCACTGCCTTGTACCTTGAACTGCTTAAGCGTGCCTAGTTTTCCAATTTTTGTTCAAAAAATGCCAAAAAAAAAAAATAAAAGAAGATTGGGCATGCCTTTTATCTGCTTAAGGTGTTGTTCTAGGCAGCCTAGGCACTCGCTACACACACCTAATCACTCTATGTAGAGCCAAACACCTAGCACTTAGGTATGCTTTTTACGGCACTGATTTTATTATTATAAAAAATTTATTATCATTAAATATATTTAAAAAACATTAATATAAATGTTTCTCGCAAGCATACGGTTGAAAGGGATACTTAGTTGGAGAACATTATCACTCTAAATTTAGAGTTAATTTTTTTAATCTTTTAATTTAAAGTTAATTTTGTTTGAGAAATTAAAATTATTTTATTTGATCTCATTAAAATTTTGGGATAATGCCTAAAATTTATTGGATGAAAAGTTTTTCCTTTTGCTCCATTTCATTTAAAGAAAATATGCTCTAAAGGTATCGGGGAATTTCAACAACAAAACTATGCATTTTAAGCACAAAGGGTAGATGATTTAGTTGCTAGTAGCTTCAAGGCCAGAGCTTAGATGGGTGCAGTTTGATCAGATACTGGTTACTTTACATAAAGAGGACCAATGTGCCAAATGCAAGTGAATTAAACAATTTGGTGTTCGAGGAATATCCTGCAGGTCTACAAATGGTCTACAAATTTCAATGCAAAGAAATGACTTAACATTCCAAAGCAATGCAACTCCAAACCTCTTTCAATTACATACCGATTAAAGTTTTTGTAGTATAACACCTAGCTCAAAGGATAAAATGAAGCATTGTTAAAACACAGTAGCAATGACCAAAAAGGGTCCACAGCTCAATCTATAGCATTATTGTCAAGTAAAACAATGTCGATGCCGTAATAAAAGAGAGGGCTTGACGCACTAGCCAAAAAATGAATCAAACAAGTTCATCGGGGTATTTGAATGTGTTTCTCAAATATCTAAAGAATAAACTCATCAAAGTTCTTGTAAAAATAAGCCATTTCTAAGTTAAATGAACCAACACTTGCAACTAGAGCATTTTTGGGTCTAGGTGTAATTTCATAATGAAAGCAATTTTTGCAGCTCAGCTGTAACTTCCTTTGGTGGCTTCTCTGCAGGGAGATTAACAACTAGTCCCTTCTTCGAAAAATATTCAATTACCTAATTTCAAACATGAATAACACATTAGAAATGGAATTGTGAGAAAATAGGGAAGAAAAGAGAGCAAGATAGAGGCATAAATAAAAAATTAATATGAAATTTATAGCAATTCTTTTCTTGTGGAATGATTATTAGATAAACCATCAAGAGACATTTAAACTTCTCAATAGAGCAGTTCTTTTTTTTGTGTTATGCACGCAAAGACTACATTGAAAATGAAGTGACACAACCTTCTCAATTTCACCCCACTACTACCACCCGAAACACGGCCACCAGAAAATATATTTAAACTTACAAGCTCAAACCAAAAAACAGGAGAAAGAGGAGGAGAAAAAGGATCATTGAGCTCAATTTGCTGGAAACTAAAAGTTGAAACTTTAATTCTATGAAAATTACAAGTGATCCTCAATAGATTCTAGATCATTCAAAGTCTAAATATCAAGACTGTGTATCATTTCCCACTTTGCATAACTATATTGAGACAGAAAGCATACTAGTTCAGTCTGCTCGTGAAATGCCTCCAACCTTGACTTGAGTACAGCAGCATATCATCTTTACGTTGTATCAAAGGTTCTCTAGTCACCTTCGATGACAATGAAATGAATGAAAGGAAGAAAGCTTGCTAACATATAACTAGTCGTTAGGACATTGTGAAATGCAGCTTAAACAGAGGTTAATGGAGATGTATACAACCAAAATCAACAATAGTATGAGAGCATGTAGCAGTCTCTTGATAAATTTATTACTTTACTCTCCCAGACAGACAACATTTATTCCACAAAACTTTGTATTAATCTAAACATAGTCTACGGCTATGAATACATCTCTTTTTCCATATATATTGCCCTGACAGATAACAACAAAAGTCCTAAGTTGTCTAGTTAGGCCAGTCATCACAAACAGCAACCAGTGACACCAAAGCCCCTATCTAATCGAGATCTATTATGGTTAGGTTATACCATATGAGTCTCTTACGCCAAAGATTCTACATGTTCTCCTACTTAGCATGAAACCGAGCTGTATGTCCAAATGAAAGTAACTAAGACATTAATATAATCAATAGAAGTAAAGGGAAAATTACTTAGGTTATCTTACTCATTAGTGCCGGCAACCTTCATAGGTGCAAATTTTAAATGGTATGTCCCAACACTAGCATGATAGATCTTTATGATTCAGTTTTATTGTCTTTACTTGTTGGAGACTGTTAAAGAATAATGGAACATTGTACCAATCACTTCTCCTATTTATTCTCTTACTCGAGAGGAGTTGAAAATAGTGAAACTCTATGTCCAAATGACAGTAACCATGACATTAAATGTAACCTATAGACATAAAAGGAGGATTATTAGTGTTCTCTTCCTCATCGACACCAGGAACCTTTGGAGGTGTAAATTTTGAATGTTATGACCTACCATTAGAAGGGTGCGATCAGTAATTCTCTCCTCCAAAATTGCATCATCAATGTTAAAATTAAGCACCTTATCAAGTTTAACTCCACGGCTTTTCAGCATCTTATCAAGTTAGACAGTAAAGGTTGACAACACATAGAGTATGGACTGAGCTGTTAACAATTTCAAAGTTTAAGAAAGAGAACCAATGATCGAATTCAGACAATAGACAACACCTACTATGCCTAGGCTACAGTCCTAGGGAATTCATCAAGAATTGAATCCTTTTTGACATGAAGGTTTCTTTATTGCTTCATTTATAATACCAACAACAAGGTCATCAGACACAAGTTCTCCCTGAAAAATAATTATAAACAGTCCATTATTAACCTAAAAAGAATCATTAAGACAAAAGAAACATAGTGGGAAAATTTTTGACCTTATCCATGGCCTCCTTAGCCTTAAATCCAAAGTGTGTTTTAGCAAACTATAGCAGCTCTTAACATATCACCAATAGCCAAGTGACACAAACAATATTCATCCTTAATAATTGGTGATTAAGTACCTTTTCCTGATCCAAGTGGACCTGCCATTTTGATTTGTACGAACAAAGCCATACATATATATTTCCAGTTTAGAGACATTTTATCCTCCAATCAAAATGCTAAACAATAGAAAACAAAGATTGTGGGGTATAGATCACTAATCATATGTCGAAGAGATAGAACAACAACTATAGTAAAAAGAAAAAATAATTAATTCCAGGATATGTTTTGGCACAGAATAAAAAACTGAATGAACACACACCAAAAACATTCCGAGGAGAGGTGTCATAAAATTTTCACAGTATGACTTTATTCATGGCTCAAGGCACATTACTATCATAGCAAGAACTTCGTGGGTATGGCACACCATTTAAGGGAATGAAAGCAAAAACCAAAAGCAAACCAGAACCAAAATAGGATCTGAAACATAACCCTTCATTTGATTGCTAATTAACTAGTAGAAAAACAAAATAAGGCAAATAAAGGGAAAATTTTTAAATGCTTTTACTTAGCATGTAAGTTGTAATAAGAATCTTGACAATAAGTCAAACAGTATAATAATGGCATTGACATTTGGCCAAATTAAGAGGTTTCTTTAAAATATTTCATACTAAGAGCCTGTTTGGTTTGGCTTGTGAGAATTTTTGCTTTTTGAATACTGTTATGAGTGATAAGTTTAAATTTTTATTGGAGAAAAAATTTAAAAGTTGCTTTTAAAAATAGGAAAAAGTGAGTAAAAAAAAAGTTTATAAAAAGTTTGAATTCGAATTTTTTGAGTTTTTACTATTTAAGATCTTTTTAAAGTTAAAAAAATGTTAAAAAATGTAAGTTTTTAAGAAGGAAATTTAAACTTACTAAACATGAATAGTATCAAAAAACTGAAACTTCTAAGAGCTCCACCAAACAGACTGTAAATAAAATATTCAACAATAATCCTTTCCAAATCTAGTAAATTTCAGAAAGACAAACAAGCGTATCATCACATCTCAACAAAGCAACATAGCAAGATCTTAATCATTAGTAACATCCTCAATGCCCCACTTCTCCCATTCCACGGGTTTTCAACAATTTATTTAAATTAGATGGATAAATCTCAGCTTGCATTTCAAAAAATGGCACAATTTTGCTCAAATTAGAGTTTTGAATGCAAAGAGTCTGCAACTTCAAAGTTATCTCAACATGAATGCAAATTCTACCACAAACCGTCAAAACTCAACTATTGGATCTAATAGTTCTAATGCATCACCTCAAAAAAAGTAAATAAATAAATAAAAATAAAAAGGAAGCTTTACAAAGAAAACCTGAAACTCGATCGCCAAAGGAAAAACTGCAAACGCACATTCTATATGGTGTGAAAGCAAAAATTCAAGTGCAGGGATTAGTTACCTACGAGAATGAAACGCCTGTGTGGTTTGGTGGCGCATTTCATGCAATGGACGAGCTCGGACATAAGACTTTCAGACGGTACATCTTCCAATGTCATCGCCGAACTAATGGCCATGTTTTGCTTTTCTCTCCTTTCTCTAGAATTTGAATCTCTTTGTTATAAGTGTGGAAAAGAACTGCTGGCCAAGGTAAAGTTAAGGTTCTTTACCTCCTGGTTACTTTGCAACTCCTAGAGCTTGAAACGCAAGCAACTGTCTATTTCGAACTTGATGTCTTAAATTCCCAAACAAGATAGTTTTACGCCCTTAACGCTCTTCTGGGTTTTTTTTTTTTTAAACGGACTCGAAAACATGTCATCGATCTGAATAATAAGATTTCTTTTTAATATCTGAGTTAGGAAAGACAAAAATATAATTAAGGTATTTTTAAATGTTGTAAAAATGCATTTCTACTTTAAATCATAAATAAGTATAAAAAAAATACTCTCTTATTTAATTTTAATAAATTTATTTTTTAATTTAAAGAATTCAAATTTAATTGGTCATTTTTTTAAAAATGTTATTTAATTCTTTTATTGCTATTTTACCCTTCTTTTATGAAAATAATTGTAACATATATTAAATAAAAAGTCAATTTTAAGTGACACTTAATTAAGAATACATATAAAATTATATTAATAAATTATTATATTTTTATTTTATTAAAAAAAA